ATTTTATGATAAGCTTTTACATCCAAGACTGGCAGTTTTCCAACTTTGTTTGTTCTTCTTCAAGATTGTCTTTACTGTTCTTGCTTTTAGTAATTTCCACAGAAATTGTAGAATTGTTAATTTCTTTTTTAAAAATGCTCTTAGGGTTTTGATAGGTATTACACTGAATCTAACATAAATTTGGGGAGAACGGAAATCCTGCTCTACTGAGTAATTTATTCTATATACATCTTCATTCATTTAGATCTTTAATTTTCTCTGCTTTGTATGGGTTTTATACTTCTTTTGTAAGACTTACCCCAAGGATTTCATATTTCTATGCTATTTTAATGTTTTTTATTTTTCATTTTTATTTTCTAATTGTTTGTTACAGGTTTAGGGAAATACAATTAATTTTTAAATTGTAACCTTATTAGATTTATTTCCTTACTATAAGATTTTATCTGTAAATTCTTTTGGATTTCCCTCAAACACAGTCATGTCTCTGCAAAATAATAACTTTTTCCCTTTTCAGTCATCATACCTTTTTCTCTTCCTGTGAGCCTTTTTATTCTTGACTCAAATTCATACTTTTTAGCCCCTTTTGATGAGACTGTGATATTCTGCTTTATTCAAAGAAATCACTAGAAATTTCTGCAATGAGTTTTCCATGAAAATGTTGGAACATAAATGATTTCCTTAGACTCAGGGTTTTATAATCTCCATTTCTTTTTCTGTATAATTCTTTGATTGAGGGGCTCAGGCTAAATCCATTGGTGGACCTACTCTTTTTAAATTGGTTCCTTATCTTGTGATAACTTGCACTGAGAATATATTACCAGAAAAGCTGGAAGGCTGCTTATTGGATAGAATTTAGGAATCTGCATTTCTCTTATTTGTTGTTGATGTTGTTGTTGTTGTTTCTGAAATCTGAAAGTTCAATGAATTTGTCCTAAACATGATTCCAGAACTGAATCTGGGTCTATAAATACAGATCCTTTTTAATAATGTATTTTAATAATATTAAAACATGAAATATGGTGTTGAAAGTATTTGGTGTACTGATAAAGTTCCCTGTTGAAGGGCGGGCAGAGTCTGGATGTTTAAAGCAACAGTTTGATTGAATAGAACAATAAATGCAGAGCTGAATGTATTTTTTTTTCTCTCTTTCTTTCTCATCTACTAGAAAAATATAGATAATAGAGCTCATTTATTTCCTTAACATTTCAGAGCTCCGCAGATGGGAAAACAACCCAGTGGAAATGATTTCTGGCAACCTTGAGAAGATATGTTAGCATTTTGTGGCATTTCTCTCAGTGACATGTAAAGCATGGCTTTCCCTCATTGCAGTGTCACAGTGAAGTGTCACAATAAAGCCAAAATAGTGTGCCCTCAGGGAAAACTCAGAAAAGGGACCATTTTCCATGCACACACAAAGGGTAATATTTATTATGAAGCCTTTCATTTTAGCTCCAAATGCTGCCTGGGCTGTGAGTACTTTGCAAAGGAGAAATGTACAGAATGTGAGATTTAATGCACATGCTATGTGTAAATCTGATGTAATTTATGTAAATATAAATAATATGTAAAAAGGTATAATACACTTAGAGACATACATGCAATCATACTCTTCAGTGGGCCAGGTGAAGCTGCAGAGCAACAGCATGAGGCGGTGTTGATGGAGTCCAGGGAGCACCGGGCCGGGAGTCAGATGGCTCCATCTTTACCTCTTTTTTTGTCACTGTCAACACAGATACTATCTCCTTTATCCTCAAACACGTGATATAGAAATTATCGTCTCCATTCACTAGAGGAGAAATTTGATGTTCGAACAGATTCAACTGATATTGCAGATTACATGGGTTAGGATTATTGAAGATATTTCAGATGTTCTTAGTATCAAATGCCATGATTTATTTTAAGCCAAACTTGTACTTTTAATAAAACCTTACCTATTCCTTCATCTTACATTTGCACAATTATTATTCTGACATAAATATTGAGCCCAGTTTTTATTTCCGTTAAAAATCATCTTGCTAGGTATGAGGTACACATGATTGACTAAGGCAGGAGGATTGCAAATTTGAAGCCAGTCTCAACAACTTATTGAAACCCTATCTCAAAATGAAAAGCAAAAATGACCAGAGATCTAGCTCAGTAGTAAAGTACCCCGGAGTTCAATTTCCAGTATCCTTGTCCCCCAAAAATCATCTCATCAGGGTCAGCTACATTTTCCAAATCCATTTAAGGAATTGTTGTTTTTTGTTTTTTTCCTTTTATTGATGCACTGTAAATATACATAAGAGTGGGATTTGTTGTTACATATTTATATTCACACACATTACTACTGTAAGGTGATTCTTTCTTTTTATTTATTTATTTTTTACTGGGGCGGGGGGACTGAGCCCAGGACACTTTACCACTGAACTGCATTCAGGGTCCTTTTTATGTTGAGACAGGAACTAGCTAAGCTGCTGAGGGTCTTGCTAACATGCTGAGACTGGCTTTGAACTTGACCATATTCCTCTGCCTCTCAAGTTGCAGGGATTATACAGGTGTGCCCTACTGCACCCAGCTAAGGGGATTCTTAATTCGTTTTGCAATATGTTTTTCCATTGCTGCAACTCAATAAAATCTTCAGATCGTGTAATTGTCTTGTATTTCTACACCCAAATCAGTGGGCAAGGCCTTGAGGTGAGCGCCTTCCTTCTCATTAGACAGGTCACTGTTTTATCCAGGTTCTAATTCAATGAATTCTCAAATGCATGCAGAATTTGCCCAAAATCTGTTTTCCCAATTAAGCAGCATTAGAGAGGCAACATCAGTTTTGGAGACCAGTAGACTTGGGTTCAAATATCAGCTTCATCAATTACTAAGTTATTTGATGATGGAAATAATATGTATCCTTATAAGTAATATTCAAAACATGTGAATATTATCATCTATTATTACCTTGCAAGGATCAGGTAGTCCAATCATTAAAGAAAGAAATGATATTTTCTCCTGACTGACCAGTCCTCCTTAACCATCCCCACTATGCCTCTCTCATGAATGAATGCTTCCTGATGCCAACAAATCTCCTCCTCCCCTCCTCACCTTACTCCTCCTCC